TCCCTCTCTTCCTGCTGCCTGTAGATTAGAAAGGAGAGGTCTCAGCTATTACTCCAGTGTCATGCCTATCTGTTCCCAGCCATGACAGTCATGGACTCACCCTCTAAACTTGTTAGCAAGACCCCAACTAACTGCTTTCTTTTTAAGAGTTGCTTTGGTCATGATGTTTCTTCACAGTAAGAGAATATTCACTTAGACCCCACCTCAAACTGACTCAAGGTAAATCACTCATCTGTTATTAAATCTATGGAAGAGATGATTCTTTGTCTATTGTTTGGATCTCAAAGTAACATGCATCTAGATAACTACAAATATCTCAAAAAGCACAACTTTATCTCCTGAAAGTAGATGAGCTAGTTTTTTCTCTTGTGCACCGACAGACAACTGAACTTCAATTCCTGGAGCCTGGAGGTCTCTTGGTGACCCTTCCCTCTAATTCCAGGACAGCCCCTGTTAAAAAAAAAAAAAAAAAAAAAAAAAAAAACTATGGGAAGATTAAACACCAGAGGGCAGGCAAGATGGCTCAGCAGATAGAAGCACTTGCTGCCAAGCCTGACAGCATGTGTTTGATCCCTTGGACCTACACTTTGGAAGAGAGAACAGGCTTCCACAACTTATCCTCTACCCTCCACACCAAATAAACAGAAATGTGATAACAAAAGATACACTACAGAACCAGTGTTGGTCATAGTATGTGTAGTGGATGAAGACAGTTGTAACTAAAGTACATATGCCTGCAAAAGCAGGTGTGTAATTGTGGCTATTCCCCACACAAGAATTCCCTCAACTAATGGAATGTAGAACTTAGGCTAGGCATTCCATTCCAGTTAGCTGACCATTTACTCTAGGACCCTAAAATAAAAATGTATTCTACCAGAGGCCACTCACCTAGCTTCTGAGCAAAACCCTAAGTACAGACCATGTCATAGTACAGTTGTATTTAGAAGAGATATGGGTTGAACCACAACATACACTTACTCTTTTTGTCCCTTAGCCTGTGAGCTGCCATACAAGAAACTACCAAACAATTAGTAGGGGCTGAGGCAATAGCTCAGTTGGTAAAATACTGGTTGCCTAAGCACAAGGACCCATTTGACCTTCATAACCACTTAAAAAGCCAGATGCGGTGAAGCACATCTGTAATCTCATACTGGAGAAGTAGACAGGAGGATCCTCAGAACTTGCTGGCCACCTAGTCTATGCTACATGGTAAATTTCAGGTCCCAGTGAGAGCCTTGTTAATTAATTTTTTCCTAATGTGGGTGTCGTGGATGGAATGCAGGTCCTCAGGGAAGGTTATGAAAAGCTATTTTGCTGAACATTTTTTGCCAATATCTCTTAACAGAGGAAAAATAATGACCCTCTGCTATGGAGGCATCCTCTCAGTTCTTCCCAAACAAAAAAATTCAATTGAGACTAAGTTTTTTTCTTTGTGTGCAATGCAATGTATATGTGGGTGTGTGCATCCACATGGAGGTCAAAGGCTGACAAGATGTCTTTCTCAATTCTTCATTGACACAGTGTCTTACTGACCCTGGAGCTTGCCACTCTGGCTAGACTGGCAGGTCAGCAAGTGCCAGGAATCTCTGCTTACCTAAGGCTGGGATTAAAGGCTGGGATTAAAGGTGCACACTCAGGGGCTTTTGTGTGGGGGGTTATGAGGATTCGAACTCAGTCTTCATGTCTGAGCAGAATCCATTTACTAAGCCATCTCCCCAGTCTGTTGCACAAGTTTAAATCGAAGTTTCACACACACACACACACACACACACACACACACACACACACACACACACAGAGCCAACTTTGGCTCTCCTGGAACTTGTTTTATAGATCAGGCTGGTTTCAGAGATCCACCTGCCTCTGCCTCCCAAGTGTTGGAATTAAAGGCATATGCCACCACCTCTGGATAAGCTGAAGTTTATTGAGTAAAGCAAGCACTCCAGAAATTGGGGTAGGCTGTCCCAAAGGAGAATAACAGGTTCTGCATTATGAAACACTTGAAGTGAGAGACATATTCATGAATATGCCCAAATCATGGTGGGCCACATCTCCCTTTTAGGGTTTATTTTCCCATAATCCTCTAGAAAAACCCACAAAGGGGATGTGTCAAAATGATATTGGGGGCAGGCAAGATGGCTCAGACACAAGGGCCTAACCACCCAAATTCAATCTTCAGAACTGACATCATGACCGAAGTTTGTTCTCTGACTTCCATATTATGCTATGGTACATATTTGCCTTTGACCCCCATTTATACACCCAGTAATAAAGGCTTTAGAAAAACACACAATGCAAACTACAATGGAGCTGAAGTCTTTTTAGGATGTGATGGACTTCCTTGTTAGGTCAAATGTACCACTTTAGTTTTGGTAAGGCAGGAACCACCTATCTGTGGCCTTAAGAAAACTTAACAAGACATTGTGTTAGGAATGAGACACAGCTGCAGCTCTCTTGGTGACTTGTCTGCTTTCTGAGCCTGCTGAAGGTCCCATGTTTGACCTCTGGATGGACAAGCTGTCAGTGTTGACTATCGTCACAGTCAAAAAAAATACAATAGTATTTTAAAATAACAAAACTGATGCCTTATGAAAGTTAGGGACAGGGTTTTACATCAGTTTGTCAGTTTGCACAAACAGGACTGGGCTTTGGGTTGTCTTCTAGGTCCCTTTCCCCAGCTCTACTGATCTTAGATATCATCCTGATATGTTAGCTCAAGTGTTGAAATGCAGATGGAGTTGGTCACAACATGGGGATGCCAGATGTTCACTTCTACTGAGTGATAAGAAAGGGCCAAGTCTTAGAGCAGTGATGGTTCATGTCTTTAATCCCAGCACTCAGGAGACAGAGGCAGGCTACACAAGGAAACCTTGTCAAGAAAAATCAAAAGGTGGCAGGCAAATGGATGAAACTAGGAAAAAATCATATTGAATGAGGTAACCCAGACACAGAAAGACAAATATAGTGTGTGTTCATTCATAGGTGGTTATTAGGAGCAAAGTATAGGATAACCTACCCACACTGCACAGCCTCAGAGAGGTTAGATAACAAGGAAGGCCCAAAGAGTGATGCATGGATTTCCCTGGGAAAGGGAAATATAAAAGATCTCCTGGGTAAACTGGGGGGTGGGGGTTGAGGGGATGGAGGGATGGGAACTGAGGGAGCTGTGGTGATATATTATTCATGGTTTATTAAATCTTGCCTGAGGACTCAGAAAGCAAAGTCAAGCCACAAGCTTGATGGAAGCTAGGCAAACACCTTTAATCCCAGGACTTGTAAGAGGTAGTTAAGACAGGAACAGGGTCTCAGAGCTAGCATTCATTCTCCAGCCACGTTGAGGAGAGCACAGAAGTCTGAGTGAATCTGAGAAGCAGTGAAGTGGGGAGCAGTCTGAGGATCATCCCTTTAGTCTGAGTTGAGGTAGAGGTAAGAGCTAGTGGCTGGCTGCTTTGCTTTTCTGACCTTCAGTTTGAAATTTGAATCCTAATATCAGTCTCTGGGTCTTTTATTTATCCTGATACAGGGAGCAGGTTGAGTGGGCTGGGTATGGTGAGTTGGAGGCAGAATGGAGGGGGAGAGTAACAAAAGAGATGTCTTGATGAGGGGTGGGTGCATTTTAGGGCTAGGGAGAAACCTGGTGCCAGGGAAAGCCCCAAGAACCCACAAGGATGACCCCTACTAAGACTCCTAGCAATTAGTGGAGAGGGTGCCTGAACTGGCCATCTACTATAAGCAGATTGGTGACTTCCCTAATGCCATCAGAGACACTCTAACCATTTAACTGATGGAAGTAGAGGCAGAGATCACGAATAGCACTGTGCTGAACTCCATCTTGTGGGAGAAAGGGAGAAGGGATTGTACCAGTGGGGTCATGATGGGGGAAGCCAGAAACAGCTTACCTGAACTCAAGGGAACTCATGGATGCTGGACCAATAGTCAGGAAGCCTGCATGAGACTCACCTAGGCCATCTACATGTGTGTGACAATTGGTATACCTTGGTCTCTTAGTAAGGTTTCTAATGGTGAGGGCAAGAATCCCTGGTGCTTAGCTGACTTTTGGTAACCTGTTCCCTGTGCTGGATTGGATTACCTTGCATCACCTCAATTTAAGGGGAGCTGCTCCATTCTGCCTCAACTTGATGTGCCATGCTTTGTGCAAGCTCATGAGAGGCCTGTCCCTTTCTGAATGGAGGTGAGGACAGGGTAGATGGGAAAGGGGAGGGGATGGAAGGAGAGCAGGGAGGGGAAACTGGTTGGTATGTAAGAGAAATGAAAAAAAGTTAAATTAAAAATGCACATATATATGTACACACACACACACAATCTCAAAAGGCCAAGTCTATATTAGGTCCAGATAAGCCAGCACTAAATTCATCCCTCGATCACCTAGTACCCAATCTCTTAAGTGTCTAAACAGCCATGTTCTTGTGTTTCCCTAGTCTGACAATGGACACCTTTCCTTCAAGTAGAGATGTAGAAACACATGTGATATACTTGTAGTAGAACTTTAAAGATTTATCTTGTGTTTTGCTTGCATGTATGTATGTTCATCACATATATGCCTAGAGCCCTCAGGTGTTGGAACCCTGGAACTGGAGTTATAGGCAGTTGTGAGCTACAATGTGGTTACTGGGAGAAAACCCAGGTCCCCTATAAGAACAAATGCTCTTAACTGCTAAACCATCTCTCAAGCCCCAGGATTTTGGATAAAAACTAGAATTCCGGTAACTGGTAAGACACAGATCATTTAAAAATGTATGAACACTACTAAGGACCAGGTCAAAATAACTGATATGCCACACAGGAATGCTGTTTGGAGCAGGGCCTTAGTTCTACTATCTACATTTGGGTCCACCCCTGGTATTTTCAACAGATTAAACTACAATTGACAAAGTGAACATGATTTTATTGGAAGGATACCTTTTTCAAGTCCCTTCTAAGTTTATTTCGTATTTTGATAACTCCTTGCTGACTAGTTATTATCAATTATTACTCACAACAAGTTTTAAAACAAGTTTATTGAAGAATATTCTTAAGAAGGCAACCACTTTTGATTTGTCATAAAAAAAAGTTACATTTCTTTATGCTGTATACTAAAGGTCATGTAAGAGAACAGAGTCACATGCTTCTCTCTGTGGAACCCTTGGGTTACAGTATAGCACAGTGTTGTCATTTCTGCACCGTGAGAATAAATTAAAAAAAAAAAAGTCTCTTCTATGTTTTTCTTCAAAAAGCGATGAAAATAACAGAAGGTGGCATAAAAAAAAGCCGGATTTCTCTACTCATTCCGTAGTATTGGAGCCAGTATCTAGAAACAGGAAAGAGAGCAATTCAAGGATCAAGTTCTAAGTATCAGTTTTTTAGGAACATCTAGGAAAAGGACTGACAGTGGTGTGTGGGAGCAGGAGGAGAAGTCAGGTAGAGAGGGTTACTCTGGGAGAGGCCCTGCCAAGGTCAACAGCTTCCTTCCCAACGCAGAGGTAAGATCAGTGTAAGCTGCAGGTGACTATTGTGGGCTAGTGTAAACAGCTTTTCCAAGCTACATCCTGCTGGGAAATACAGCAACCTTCTGGCTCTGGCTATCGCTGCCCTTTCCTCTGTTATTCTACTGAGAATTGAACACAGCTTAATTTTAGAAGAATGAAAATTTACAGCAGCATCTGATTTATGTAAAAACACTAAAGAATGGAATTTTTCTAATAAAAGTGCCAAACTGTATTTTAACCATGCCTGAGATTTCATCTTTTCCTGTGGATACAGGATGGGGAAAAAAAAAAAAAAAAAAAAGAAAAGGAATCTACCACAACCATTCCCCATCCCCCCTTCCCAGAGACAGGGTTTCTCTGTGAAATATCCCTGGCTGTTCTGGAACTCATTTTGTAGACCAGGCTGGCCTTTAGAGATCTGCCTGCCTCTGCCTCCCATTTCTTATGTATTCAAATCTTTGCTGAAAATCAATTACTACGGTTTGCTTTAAATGAGGGTAGCTCTCTAATGACCACCTAACTGAAGACAAGGGTAACTGGGAAAACAATCTTCTATCTTTCAAAAAGATAGGACCACCAGGCAAAAGCTCCTGTAAGTAACACACCCACCCTACAGCTCTCTGCTATTAAGATTGCTCAGAGACCTTGCTTTTTTTTTGGTTCAAATGACTGAAATCAACCCTCTACTAGTCATATCTACACTGCTCAGTACAGCAGCACTGGCTTTTAGTTGCCCTAGTCACATTTTAAGTGCTCAAGGGCCATGCACAACTACTATGGACTGCAGACAGAATATTTTCACTATTACACAAATTCTCCTCAACAAAGCTGGTGTTCTTCACCTGCTCCCTCCCCCAGGGGAAAGGACTGAAGCTAAGGTCGCATACAAACAGAGCCCTCTATCAATGTACTGTATTTCCAGCCCTCTTTTTACTCTATCAGACAGGGTTTAAGTTGCTCAAGCAGGACTTGAAGTTGTTATCTCTGTTTCAGCTTGCCAAGTAAGGAAGATTATAGGTCTGCACTACCTGGCTCATTTATATCAAGTAATTTACAAATATCTAGGAACTATAAAACAATGCACAAACTCTATGGCCTAATAAACACTTAAAAATCCTGAGAGTTATAGGGATGTTATTAGCTGAAATTACAACGGGGGGAAAAAAAAACCCATGAAAGTATAAATTATTTCAAATATAGAAATTTATCTTGTGGTACAGCAAATAGTACCACCTTTGAGGAAATGGAAAACAAAACAAAAAGTGACCCAAATGTACAATGTGCATAGTTTAAAAAAAAAAAAAAAAATCTTAGTATCTCCTAGTCACACTAAGAAGTTTCTAGTTAGCTCTGATGAGTAAGTAGTGTAATGGTGCTAACTTCCTAGACTTTTTGACATCTGGAAGACTTTTTAGCCTTTAATCCTAGCACTCTGGAGGCAGGATAGGTGGATCTCTGAGTTTGGCCAGGTTGGTCTACACGGTAAGTTCCAGAACAGAAAGGGCTATACAGAGAAAACCTGTCTTGAAAAGCAAAATAAATAAATAAGTAAATAAATAAATAAATAAGGGCCATAACTATCAGAAATCATCTATATGGAAAAAATTATATATGTGTAAACATGTCTCTGTGCACAGATGTGTTACTATAAAAATACATCCCTAAAATATAGATCCCTAAGATATGAGAGCCTTTTTCTTTTGAAGTTAAACAGTTACCTGTACAGGTGGTTTATATATGGAGCTTTTCTGTATTCTCTACATTTCTTCAGTGATTAGATATTCTTTAAAAAATTCAAACTGTAGCCAGCAAGGTGGCACATGCCTTTAATTTCAGCATTTAGGAAGTAGAGGCAAGCAAAATCTGAGTCTGAGGACAGCTTGGTTTACATAATCAGTTCCAGGCCAGTCAAGGCTACAGAGGCCATCTCAAAAAACAGAAGCAAAACAAACTTGATATGTAACACAAGAAACAGAGTTATTACTTCCTATATATTTCTCTCTCTCTTGCTTCTTAGAGTGCCCCCTATACCCCCTTCTTGGAGTGACAATCTTTATACTCCAGGGACTGGTACTTTAAACACAAGCTGTCCAGATTACCAATTAAACTAAATACACAATAAAACACAGGGCTAGGACATGACTTAGTATTAGAGTGCAAATCCAGCAAGTACAAGGCTTTGGGTTATGTTTAAAACTAAACAAAAGGAAAAAAAACCAGTCATGGAGCATGGGGCAGAGATGTGTCTTGTCACTTTAAACATGTTTAATGACCTAAAGAACCTCTAGGTCAGCTGTGGAAAATTCCCTTGCACAAATGTCCTGGGTATCTCCCATTGTAACTGCAAGGTTCATGGTTAGTTTAAATCAGATTTAAAAGAATTAGCTTCTTATATATGTCAGCTGTGGACAATTCTCTTGCACAAATGTATTGGGTATCTCCCATTATAACTGCAAGGTTCATGATTAGTTTAAATCAGATTTAAAAGAATTAGCTTCTTATATATAAAGTGTAAGGTATTTAACAACACAGAAGCTTTAAGATTAATGCTCAGTTACACATAACTTTCTTAAAGAGAAGGGTGACAGTGACAAGTCTGATGATTGCTTCAAATAAGCAACTCAATGGAAGGAAATTTAGCAATTAGCTTATTTTCTTTGCACATGAATTGAACCTGTGTTAAGCATCTATGTGTCACTTGAGCATATAGATGTTAAGTTCAGTAAGAAGACACATGTAGAATACAGAAGCTAGATTTTTATCTGAGGGTTGATCACCTGACCACTTTCCCCTGAGGCTTTCAGATAGATCAAGATAATTAAAGAGGAGAAAAAAATATTTCAACAAGTTTTGCTTTCACAGTAATTAGGCGAGCACTTACTTTTACCATCACAGGCTACAATTTTCACTTTATCCACTTTAATAAGTTCTGTCACCTCTCTGAATTCAACATCATTCAATACAAAAGTCCAAACATTATCGCAGAATCTGTATGTATTTAGAGAGCCCTTTAAAACAAAACATTGAGAAATGCCATGAGAAGCCATTGTTTCCCCTCATGCTTTTTATTTCAAAGAAACCCAAGAGAATTTAGCTATCAAGTATATAGTTACTAAAACAGTATGCTTGATGCTTAGCTTAGTTTATTTAACTTAATTTTATCTACTTAGAAATAAGTAAAAGAAAACCTGAATAAGTCAGCTCAGGGAAGAATTTGCTAACTGACTACTTTTAGCACTCTAAAACAATCTGCAAATTACTTACCTGAAATGAAAAGCTTTACGAAGATTTAAATTTGTATGTCTACTGCCCCCTTGTGGATAAATTATGAAAGTCCATTTGATCTCTGTCTTTTGAGAAAGGGATCTCTACACAGCCTTGGCTGTATCGGAACTCACTATGTAGACCAGGCTGTCCTGGAACTGTCTGCCTCTGCCTCCCAAGTGCTGGGATTAAAGGTGTGTACCACTATATCCTGGCCATTACATTAAAAAAATTTGTTTTTATATATGGATGCATGTATGTATTTGGTACATGCTTGCCTGGGTTTATGTATACTACATGCATGCAGATGGCTGTGAAGGCCAGGAGTCTGAACCCCTGAACTGGAGGCACCTGATATGGGTGCTGGAAACCAAACCCACATTTTCTCCAAGAGCAATAAGTGTTCTTTCTTAGTCACTAAACCCTCTCCAGCCCTCACATTTGATTTCTTTTTTTGAGACAGGGTTTTCCTATGTAGTCTTGACTGTCCTGGAACAGAATATGTAGTTGAGATTGGCTTCTAACTCAAAGAGATCTGCCTTCTGAGTGCTGGGATTAAATACATGCACTGGCTCCATTTGAATGTTTTACAAATATTTAAAGCTCTATTATTTCACTGGGTTTTCATTCTCTAAATTTGTACAAAAGCAGATTCTTTATAAACAATTTAAATCCCAGAACTGGCTCAGACACATCACTGTTATCTATTAAGACTATTTCCAAATTGTCTTTTTCTGTGAGTCTACTGTCACTCAAGGCAGAAACTTGAAAATTAGCAGTTGTCTCTCCATTCCACCGTATCCACAGTTGTCAAATCCTGTCAGATGTGCCCTTTAAAATCCCCCAATTTCTTACTATCTTTTGTTAGAACTGTAAGTAAAGCTACTTTGACTCTTCTGATTCAGCTGGCTAAGAGGCATGTTCTTCTGCCTCCAGCCTCATTCCCCTGTAATCCATTCTTCATGTGAACACCAGGAAAGCGAATAAAATTATGTGGCTCCTGTGATTAACAGTCCTTCATTGACTTCCTTATTAAGGTTAGTTCATTAGGACAAGTGTGGACTTCCTGGGGGGGCGGGGGGCGGGTCCCATGGTTTCTTTGAGTTTTCCTTATCTTCTAAAGAATTGTTTTCTGGAACTTCCTACCATATTCCAAATGTTATCTTCCTTTCCACAGTACCACTCCTTTAACTGACTATGAATCATTCTTCAGGACTCAAGTATTATTTTGTGAGTGCAGCCCTTTGTCCTCCATACCTGTTGTACTCCCACTGAACCAAGTAACATACCCTAACATTTTTAACATATTTGTTTTAATGGTCTGCTTGGTAAGCTATGCTGGTAGCTGAGACCATTGTTTTCTGTTGTATTTTCAGAGTCCAGCAGAATATAGATCACAGTAATTATTCATTTCTACTAAATCTTTAAACCAATTCACAGTCATAAGTTTTTAAAATTCTCCTTATATTCAGATTCAAACAGTTTTCACCAATATGGATGATAGGAGTCATTTTAAGATTTTGCTGTTTAAATATCTTGTGCTGAATTTCACATGTGACTATATGCATACATATTAGGTTTTGATTCCATTCTGTTGGTGTTTAGTCTAATACATTTTTTTACACTTAAAATGCTTCCTTTTATGTCCAAGGATATGTTCCTGCTCCTAGATAAAAACCCAAACCAAAAAAATGTTTTTATTAAAAGAATCCACTGCAAACGACAGTGAATCTTTATTGTATATAATTTTTAGTTACTTAGGCATCGTGCTTATTTGTGTATTTCATTTGAAACTCTGAATCTAGAACCTTATCTATAAGAGCTAGAAGAATATTTCGTGCTTATTTGTGTATTTCATTTGAAACTCTGAATCTAGAACCTTATCTATAAGAGCTAGAAGAATATTTGTGCTTTAAACAATTATAGATTCATTTTTCTTTCAAAGAGTTCCTTTGGCTCAATACTGATTTTTATCAATTGTCTCTAAAAAATAGAATCTTTTAATACATATCAACAATAGGTGATATCTGTTTCTTAAAACAGAAACTAAAAGGTTACACAGTACTCAGTTCTCATTTGTAGACAACAAACAACAAAATCATGAAGAAAAGAAACTGTGTCACGAGAAGCAATACTTTTTGACCACTTAAATATTTTAATGCTCACTTATTTGAAGCTGAGTATTATCATGTTTAGGTAGCCATTTCTCCCATCTTTTTTCCCTTCTTCTATCCTCTATCCTCTTAAATGCACACAGTGGCTCTTTAAAAGCCTAGTTATATGTATTAATTCTATGTGAATTTACTTTCTAAAAGTCCTCCCTAAGTTACTTGCCACTTTTTTACTGATAAATTCCAACATATAAATAATTAATGCTTTAGTTTTCATATTTAAGGACAGCTTTTCTTGTAGTATCTTACTGAGTAGTATCACACAGAATTCACATTAAGGATTTGAAACTAAAAATTAGCTCATATATTATGTAAAATCACTCTATTCCTTAAATGGATAGACCTAATCTTATTGGTAGATTAGCAAAAATTATTATACATAATAATAAATATTGATATTCAATCTAGCAATGGGACATGGAAAATTAAGTAGTGGCAATATGTTGTCTTGCACATATAGTTTGCTATAATTCAGGGCAGAGTATGGAATACTGGACTGCAGCAGTAGCAATGGGAAAAGAAAAAGTAAACTGGAAAATTAAGACCTGGTCAGGGCCAACTCCTAGAAAACTGACAGACTTACAAAACACTGTGGACAAGAAATATAAGTGTCCAATTAATTTTTGCAAAAGAAACCCACACGAGACACTTTTAAAGACTACCAAGGTCTTGTGAACTTTACTGCCTCTGATAATAGTTCATCCATTTTCTAAATGGCTAAAACTTACGCAGTTTAACATAGATCAATTTAAAAAGTTAAAATTTCAAGCAGATTCCTACAAAAAACAACTTTGTCAGAAGCTGTCTATTAAAATCCAAGAATCAACTCTTAGAGACTTCTTGTTTCATTTTGTTTTTTTTTTAAAATATGGTTTCTTTCTGAAGCCCTGACTGTCCAGGAACTTGGTTTGTAGATCAGGATGGCTGCAGAGGCAGGCAGCTCTCTGCCTCTTCTCAGTGCTAGGATTAAAGATATGTGCCATCATGCCTGGCTGATAGTCTTCTATTTGACTATTTATACCTGTAATTTTTAAGCATGTAAAACTGATAGACATTTGTATGTTACATAAACATGTATTTTATCTCTTCAGCAAAATGTAAGTCAAACGGGGATCACATCTATTTTGTTCACCCTTGCATTTCTGATACCTAGAGCAATGTCTATTACTTAATAGGCATGTAAATACTTAAAAAAAATACATTCTTTCGTTATTTTATCAACAAAACACTCATGTTGCCTCAATACCTAGGCTTTCTTATATGCAACTCATAAATTCTTTTCCTATATTAGTCTTCATAGGCTTTAAATTTATTTCTACAGTCTATAGATGAAGATATTAGAGAAATATAACAGGGTATGGCAAACACGTGTCTCCACATAGTAAACTGTTTCACCACATTTTGCAAGGAGTTCTTAACCCCAAATTACCACAAAATTGAGAGTGTATTTTGTTCAATGCAGGGATGATTCAAAAGACGTCTAGCTACCAGAACAGATTTTATAAGCCAAGCGATCTAAGAGTAGATGAAAGGCAACATGAAAATTCTACAGATAACCAACCATTCCTGGAAGGTCAGAGTTTGAAAAACATAACTGAACTTAAGGACTACTCTGTCACTTACCTTCTGTCTTGCAGCTAACACTTTCAGGCCTTTGAAACCTCAGTAATTCTCCACGAAGGAAAAAGCCACACATACACAGGATGATTTATGAAACAATGAAATTAAAATCTAAAAGCTATTCTGTATCACATGGAATGGATGAACTATCATTCAATTATTACTCAAGTTCCCAAACCAGACTAATCAAATCCTCCTGTTATGCTGAGTAAGTCCATGTAGCCTCTCGGAGTACCTGGTGCAGACTTCCACACACAAGAAAATATCCTTACCCTGAAATTGACTCTGTTCCTGACTCTCTGAGCCAATGCTGAATTTATAGCTTTATCAAACTGAAGTAGAACTTGAAGGGCAAGCTGGGGGGTGATCTGTTGGGACTGAGGAAAAAAAAAAAATGAATATCATAAATTCATCAAGGGAAAACATTAAAGGCAAAATAAATAAAGTATATTAATTATAATCTAAAATCCTGAAGTAGAACTTATTCTCCTGTGCTCTAAGTGACAATGGAGCAAGAAAATGACTTCTACACTATCTTGACAAAAAAAAACAAAACAAAACAAAACAAAAAAACAAACTTGCAAAGTCAGGAAAAACTTGCTATTCCTTCAGTGGCTGGACTAAGTGTTCAACAAATGGAAACCAAGTTTTTTCTTAATAAAAGACATGAGACCTATATATAAAGACAAAACAAAGGCGAGTCTTACCAAAGTCTATATACTAACACCACAGCAGATGGAGCCAGACGTGGGACTGCACAACTGTAATCCCAGCAGGTGTGTGTGTGTGTGTGTGTGTGGGGGGGGAGCAAGGGCAGGGAAACCACACACTCTAGACCACACTAACTACAGAGCACATTCAATGACAACCTAGACCCTGTCTCAAAAATAAAAACAACCTCTCCCCCCACACCTCCATCCAGATTCCAATAGAACATAAATAGAAATATTTAACACTTTCTGAGTTGTATGATTTGAGTAATATTAATTCTTCTAAAACTTAATTAGAAATTTAAAGTTTTAACTCAAATCTCAAAAAAAGTATTTATTACACTGTAAAAGTGACCGAATATCCCTTTCTTCTAAATTGAGATGGGAAGATTATACTTTCAGGGATCATTTCTATGGTTCATCATTAATAATAAGGGAAAAGTGTTAATTTTAAAACATTTTTAACAAAGAAATTTGATGACTTATAAAGCATGTTTAATGTTTGGTCCCCACCTGTATGAGCTCATCAAGGCTTTCTTGAAGACTGTTTCCCAAAGTCGTATTTCTGTATAACTGATATGCCATGGCTTAAAATGAAGTAATTACTTTGTCTTCAGGCTTGCATTGATGTCCTACAAATTTAATATGAAAAACCAACCTGTAACAATGTAAATTATATATAACAGTCTACTACTTCATGTATCCTAACATGGAACTATTAGAACTCATTACAAATTACTATATTAATTATCTTATAATTTCAAAGACTTGTTCAAAGTTGATTTTTCTGATTTTTAAACAGTATGGTATTTATCTTTTTAATTCAGAATGCTGGCATATTTGTTAAAATGTGCATCTTTATTTTTCCGAAAGATTTCTTTTAGTTTAGAATTTTCCATAGCATCCAGTCTACTTGTTGTCACTTAGTGACATGTTATCTGCATTTGAGTCCTTTATTTTTCTGTTCTCCTAAAATTCCATTATAGTTCCTGTCACAGGATGGCACTGTGACAGGAAACAGACAGGAAGATAAATAAAGATGAGCCAGTCCCAAAAGTCTCTGACTCTACAAAGGGTAACAGGCACCTAAAAAAGGTTAAATTTGGTGTAAAAGGGAGTAAGACATTATATCATGAAGGCTGCTTGTGCACCAAGCTGGCTTAGAAAAATTTCCCATTCTTCAGGCAAAGAAGGAAATGGCAGGCAGGAGGGTAAGAAAAGCCACAGACATGTGAAAGTGTAAGGTTTGTGGAAATCTTTAAGTGTGAGTACACAGTAGCAGTAGGTGAAGCTGATGCAAAGGACAGGATGAGTTTGCTCCATAAGAGAACTGCAGGCAACAAAAAAGCCCTTGAAACAAGGCAAGAAAGGCAGAAAACCCTGCTTATGGGACCTGAAAATGGGTATAGGAATACAGATTTAACAAGTTTACTTAGAGTCCAGAGATGGACAGGAGACGTATTCAAATAATCATCAGATGAGAGTTGCCAAAAATAATGACCAGCCATTTTCATATTAGAAATGGCCAATTTGATTCAACAGATCATTCTGTCATCATGAGCCATTCCTTTAGCTCACAGAACTACTGTATATCATGTTTTCTTTAGCAATTCTTCCTCAGCTCCCTGACCTCCATCTCCTGAATTACTCTAAGGTTTCTTAAGTCTTCTCTTCCCTGGCTTTCTCCTTTAGTTATTCCATCTATATGTTGATTTCTCTGAAACTTTTATCTCTTGTCCTCACTTCTCTCTTTGTACCCACATGTAAAATTGGTTATTTTACACTGAAAAAATTTATCAAATAGCTGAGACACTTCTGCAGTTAAGGGCAATTGCAGAGGACTTGGGTTCAGTTTTGAGGCACCCACACTGGGTAGATCACAACCAGTTGGAACTTCAGCTCCAAGGAATCCATGTCCTCATTTGGCCTCCATAAGCTCCCACGTACATTCATATTCTCTCTCTCTTTCACACACACACACACACACACACATACACCCCACAGCTGACACATCCATGGTATTCTGACTGGGAAATCTAGTTCAGCTTTGTATTCACCATCCAAAACAACGTATACAGTATATATTAAAAAATTGGTTGAGTAAAATAACTTGGTAGCATGCCTCAGTATTAATAAAAAAAAACATTAGAAATATTTATGTAGGGCACATTTCTACTTTACTAATGAAATTAAATTAATAGAAACTAGACTCTCACAACCACATCCATCTTCTCATCTAGTTACCACCGCCTATACCCATATACTCCTTTCTGTCATTATAGTCAACATGAGCAACAACCACCACCACTCAAATCTACTTCCTACATTCTATTCCTGTCTGGCAAAAGTTAAAAGAGTTAATTGACTCACTGTTTCCCATTCCCCTTCCTCTAGTCATACCAAGTTTTGGGCTCCAACTGTAATGAAACTGGTGCTGGAGGTCATCAATGGCACTGGGAAAACTAGCTCAGACTAGCACAGCTGACACAGCTGACTTCTTCAGGTTACAGGACCACTGCTTGGTACTTCTCTTTTAGGGTTGTCTTCTTAGATCCACTGGTTCATCCTGCTGACTTACCCTCTTCTCCTTGTAGCCCTGGCTTGTCTGGAACTCTCAGAGATGGGCCTGCCTGGCCTCCTGGGTGCTGGAATTAAGGGTGTATGCCACCTGGCCCTTCCCTACCCTTTACACTCACAAGGCAGTCTCTGTTTACTATTTTCTTTCTTAATACACTTATGCAGTTTAACATTCATTATTACAGCTTTAAACATCAGCTAGTGAGTCCCAAATTCATATATCCTCCAAGCAATTCTAAGTTCTGGAACTAACTTCCTATTCAAACTTTCTATTTGTCCTTTATATCAACTGAAGTGACGCCATACCTCTATGGATTTACTAGACAGACAAGACCTTTGAAGTTGTTCTCAAAGTCATATAATCCACAAAGATGTCCAATTCCTACCAAATCTTGCAAACACAACTATCAAAATGAGTACAGTATCCAATCATTTCTCAACATGTCTATTACTGCTTCCTTGTTCTATTACAAGTCATGTGGATGGTGCAAATGGTGTCCTGATTTCCTTCATTCTACATATTTGCCCCACACTCTTTATAGTTTACAGTGGGGCTATCGTTTGAAAACATGGGCTAGAAGGAGGTATTTTTCTCCCACAGCTTTCATCAGCACTGACAACGTGGCCGGCCACCTTTTATGTCTGGTCTTCTCTACTATCTGCCGCTTCCCCCTTGCACATCCCAACTTCCCAAGCACGATGGTTGTTCTTTCTGCTTGAATGTTCTTGCTCAGATACGAACTTGACTAACAAACAAAACCCATCGTTGCCCGAACAGCTCCCACCCAATAACGCCTGAACACTACGAACTCCCATATCCACTAGTGAACTTCTCCGTACCCTTTATCTCGCTCAAACTTCTTGTTGGCACCACATGCCAAGTTACATAACGGTCTTCTATTTGTTCTCTGCATAAAATGTAAGGTCCACGAGGGCATGGATCTTTGTGTTTTATTCCCGGGGGAAACCTGCGGGCCGAGAGCAGTACCTGACCCACGGCGGGAGTCAGACGAAACATTTATTCCGTTGAAGGTAAACGCCAGTCAGTACACGAGTGTGGAGGAGAGGCGAAAAAGGTCAGGGAAGTAGGCAGAAGCTTGGAGACGGCCCGGGAGGGAGCCGTGTCACACTCCCTCCTGACAACTAAGCATTACTGAGAAGACAGCGAGAAGCGACTTCAACGTCTGCTCCAGCTAGTTGCCTCGGCCATCTCCAATCTTTTAAGGTGGCGACGGCTGCAGAATTGCGCGGTTCCCTCCTCACGGTGGAGATGAAGCGGAAGCGCTCGTGTCCCGTGTCTGAGCCAGACGCGCGTCCGCCGAGCGCGGCCTGAGGAGAGCGGGAAGGCGGCTGTTCCCGCGCGGCCGCGTCTGCCCGGGGGGCGGCTTCCGGCGGCCACAGCGCTCGCTACCGCCCGCCCCGCCGCGGCTGCCCCGCTCCCGGCCCCGCCGCCGCCTACCTGAGGGAAGGCGTTTCCGCCGCGGCGCTAGCAGAGCCGGGCAGGGTGCCCGCTGCGACCAACTCCTCTGCCACGGAAACCACAGCGCTGGGCCAGCGACCCGGAAGTGCTTGCGCGACCCGGAGGTGACGCCACGAGAACCACCGGTGGCCCCCCGCCTCAGCTTCCGAGAAGGCGCGTGGCCCCTCCCGCTTGGGCGGGGGAACCACAAGCCCGCGGGGCGGTCTCTCCAGCCAGCCCAAGTTTGTGGTCCACGAGTCCTTTCCATTGGAAGACCTGCTGTGTAAACTTCGTGCCTAACACTGAAGCAAATATGTGGTGTCTATTCTGAATTTCGAAATCTTAGATTCCTTTTGGTATCAGCCGGCGTCTTTGGTTTTCTGCTTTGAAAACAGCTTTTATGTGCACAGCTGATGACCAGTGAGCACCCGAGTTGAGACTTTGGGGTCAGTGCAAGAACCCGAGGTCTGTGCCATGCTGTGTTTTCCCTTTTAACCCTTTTGCTTGGTTTTTCGAGGCAACAGCCCTGGTTGTCCTAGAACTCACTTCGTAGAGCAGGCTGGCCTAGAACTCACAGAGATCCTCCTGCCTCTGCCTCCCGAGTGCTTTTTAGCCTTTAAAAAAATGTATCCCAGAGTAAAATACTAAATTATGAAATATAAGTGATTAAAGTTCAAATAATGTTAGGATTTTTAAACAAGCTGAACTCGTTATCAGTTAAAAGAATTAGTAGCACTCAAACTGCAGGGTTGAAAGGCTTACCAGATAACTCAGTGTAAAAAGTTAACGTAACTAAAGATGAAAACAAAGCACAAATGTATATTCCAACTAATTTATTAAAATGCATTAACATTGTAGTAATCCGTGGAACAAATTAGGACACACTATTCATAACAAGTCCAAAGAAGAGAAAACAGCGAATTTGCTGATCAGGGGCTGCTCACTGACAAGAACCACAAGCTGTAGCCTGCAGACAATCAGACTGAATTCTCACTGAAATGAAGAGCTAGGCTAGTAAATACAATCCAAGGCGGCAGAAAAAAAAAAAAAAAAAAAAAAAAAAAAAAAAAAGCTCATAGCAAGTTAATTTTGTCTAAAATGACAGCATGTGAGCTTGTAATGAAAATATCTTTGAAGTAGGACTCAAAGTGCAATAGTATCTGATGAACTCTGAATTGTGGTTTTTGTGAACAGCACCCCAAGGCTGTGCAAGCCAGCAACCCAGAACATCAGTATCTACTAGTTAGCTTTCTGTAAGTAAACAATGAAGTAACTCTTAGGAGGGCATTAGCCTTTTCAAAGTCTGTATACAAAAGTACAATGGAGTAGCTGACAGTTAATCAAGTTCTTGTCAAACTGAATATACAAATACACAAAAATTCAAATTCCAAAGTTTTCAACTATTGTAGGAAGTCTTTTAGACAGCTAGCTATCTGAAGCAAATAGCTTAATATCATTTCTTTACTAATTTGAATTCACAAAGTGTTGCTCCACCCCATCCCATACCCTCAGGGCTCATCTCACTGTGTACACCTACCCAGGCTATCCCCAAAACTCACAGTCCTCCTGCCTCAGCCTCCAGAGTGCTGGAAACACAAGCACATGCCATCATGCTTGGCCTGAAAACTTGTGGTTTTTATCTAGTACTTGATTTCAAGACACAGGTGAATTCCCACAGCAGTTAAAATTTGGCTCTACAGCATTATATATTATATATAACTGCAATAAAATATCCCGTTCAGACTGTAGCCAGCCCTTACTGCTCCACACACTGTTTGGTTTTGTTTCCATTTAGGACTTTGAAGCTCCATGACTTGGCCTTCTGACCTGACTGAATTCATTCAGGGTTGCAGAAAGGGTTCCCAGGACAAGTGGTCCTGGACTAGTTTAGAACACTGGGCAGACAACGCCCTGCTGCCGCCCCAGTTCTTGATGGTCTCAGCAACTCCCACTACACAATTCCCATTCCCTCTCTCACTAGCACAATGTTAGCCTGCAGTCTACTGACTTCTCTTATTCCAGCCCTGAGACTTGATAGATCCATTTCTGAAATATCTAAATACAATAGGGACAGGAGGAGTGGAGGGATCCACACATGACAAAACCAAAGCAGAATGGGGTGGCACCTCTGTCATCAACTGTCTCTGCATATCTAACACTGTTCATTTTCTACCCCCCACCCACCTTTGTTTTTTTTTTTTTTTTTTTTTTTTTTTTTTGAGACAGGGTTTTTCTGTATAGCCTGTCCCGGAACTTGCTCTGAGGACCTGGCTGGCTTTGAACTCAGAGAAGTGCCTGCATCTGTCTCCTGGAGTGCTGAGATTAAAGGTGTGCACCACCATCACCTGGCAACAATTTTCTACTTACAGCACAGGAAAAAGAAGGCCAAAGCTACTGTCACCTTTCATACAGATCTAACCAATTCTATCAAGAAACTGGCATGCTCTACTACAAGTATTCTAGTGCTAATCCCCAACTGAATTGTTCACTGCAAAGAATAAACACTTCTACATGAGACTGCCTCTTCACATTCCCTGAGCACGTATATAAATGGCTGCAGCGATGTGGAAAGAATACTGTCAAGGAGCTGGTGAAACCAAATTGTGACACTTGGCACAGAAGCCAACTACAGAAGGCAGTCAATTGGACATGAGCAACTACAGCCCTGTTCAGACCCATTTCCATCTGAAGATGAAAGGATAGGGGAACAAGATTGTCATCACAAGGGCCATTGGCAATCCCCATCTTCTGTGACATCTACTTTTTCCTTGTGGATAAAGGAAATGGGACCACCCACTGACATACAGAGACTTGCCTTAAGAGGGACACTTTTGGTGGCATGTGGGTAACAACCAAGTCTTTATTTATAATGGCCTTTTCTCATCTTCTAACTCTGCTTAGCACCACACTTCCTGGCATCTCTGGCCTCCTTGGCTTCAGTGTGGGGCAGAGACACCACAGCTTCCCTTGGTGCTTTTTTTAGGAACACAATCAAGCAGAACACAGAATTACATTATTTTCTGAGAAACACTTTTGATAAAAAAGGGGCAATCAGAGCTGAAATGTAACAAAGATGGTAATAGAAACACCATAAATTAAACCTGTCAAGGTTATTCAAGACCCCAGCAAAAAGTCAAAGAATTATTCTAAGCAATTTCACCTCAATTACTAATGGGAATTAAAAAATATGGAAGATGTTATATTGTTACCAATTAAAAATCAACTTAATACAGCTTTTCCTCTAGCCTACCAGTTATCAATCCAGTCTCACAGGCATGTTTACATTGTGGGTGCATCCCTATACCACATGCCATTCAAGTGCAGGTTAAAGCAGTTTCCCCCCATAATTCAAGTGTTAAAGCACTGTTCCCTTTTTATCCTTGAGTCAAGGGCTTGCTATGTAGCCTACATGAGCCTCAAACTTAAAATCTCCCATTTCAGACTCCCTAGTGCTGGGATTCAAGATATACGCCATGATCCTTGGCTGTCCCTTCTGAATTTTATTCATTTTTTAAGAAAAGGTTTAGGGGTGTGTGTGTGTGTGTGGGTGAGAGAGAGAGAGAGAGAGACAGAGACAGAGAGAGAGAGAGAGACAGAGAGGTGCCAAGAGGCCAAAGAGTGCATTGAATCCCCTGGAGCTGGAGTTATAGGTGGGCATGTACTGACAGCTATGGGTGCTGGGAACTAAACCTGGAAGTGCTCTTGCAATCAATGAGCCAGCTCTCCAGTCCCTCTTTAATGTTTTAACTGAATATAGGTTACTTCTACTTTTTAAAAATTTACAAAAGAAAAAAAAAAAAAAAAGAAAGAAAAACCATTATAAACTCAAAAACAAAACACCCCCCCCCAAAACACACTTCTGAAAAAAGTAAACACAATAAAAAGCCGAAGCTATTGTCTGTATTTTGAAACTGAAAATCCAAGTGCCTAATGTGGAAGAAAACCAATGACAATGCTCAGCCCATTCTGAAATGAGAGACAAGCTACCCAAGGGTAAGTTCAGAAGGATGTCTATGGAGTTATATAGCCCAGGGTGGTCTTAAACTCACAGAACTCTGCCTGCCTCTGCCTCTTAGTGCTGGGATTAAAGATGGATGCCACCACACTTGGATCTATACAGTTATTCTTAAAGTTCCTTCACCAACACAAATAAAATGGTTTTTACTCCATTTACTCCAATGACACTACTTCAGGATCTGCTTGGAGTGCTAGATCCAAGCTGAGAGGATGTGGATGAATGTTTTACCCAGAGTCTTCCAGCTTGGCATCAACTGGCTTTACTCAGCAGGTCAAATTTATGCCGGAGAAGGACAAAGAAGTAGAGAAACATTCCCTTTTGTAATAAAAGCTTAACACTAAAAAATGACAATAGTGATGAAGGTCATGTGTTCAGGATGGGAGGGAATAATCTTCTAAGTTAAGTTCATACCTGATTCAATTTTGCTTTGCTAGGTCACTCTTATAAATAGCTTATAAGAAGGGCTGGGTGTTTTGAAGCTGATACATCAACTAAATATGTATATGCCAGGCAAGTTCAAGATACAAGACTAAACGAAGTTGTTGTTTTGGAACAATTTCGTAGGTAATTAAATCCTGCTTGGAGGCACAAATACAATTTATTTCAGTGTTCAATTAGGTACTTAACGACATGAAGTAAGAGCTTACGTGCAATAAATGTCATCCTGAGCACACACCAGCAGTAATCCCATACTTACAGAGACATCCCATGTACAGCACTGTTACATCATCCAATAGCTACATGAACACCTATCTGCATAGGTCAAATAGCACTGTGGTCACAGCTGATGACGGAATACTCTAGTAAAGTGCCCTGTGAGGTCATTTCAGCGGCAGCCCATCTGCTCTACAGATGCAGCAGACCATGACCACTCACCACAGCACCTGCAACACCTCAAAGCTTCACACACACACACGACACAGCTCATTTCACATCAGTGAACACATCTTAAGAGTTCCCTTCCTTCCTTTCTTCCTTTTTTAAACAGCTCTGACTTTGGGTAAAATAAAATGCCCTTATATACATATATACAAAGCCTAACCACTAGCTTCTCAAAGTCTCTGGGTCTGGTTCTAAGACATCTTTAGAGAGGAAAGCGAGCCGTTCACTGACTGCCTGCACTGCCACCATGCTTCATGCAGCAATGTGCTTTCATGTGAGGAGAAGCTCGGGCTGCTACTACGGACTATTTCATGTGCATGACCCTGGGTACTCCGAGTCAGTTTAACTGCCCCTGCTTTAGGACAACTCAGCCTAAGCTACCCAGGAAATGTATCCAACCATTTACAAAAACAAGTCTTACATGCACTTTACATTTAAAATTGTGTGTATATTCTTCCATGAGATAAGTACACACTAAAAAATATTGCCCCCAACATAAAAATATATATTATTTCTTTCCTTTGTCACTTATGTATATAAATATTTTACTGAAGATGCATCATTCAAATAAACAAATGCAAAAATTGCTTTATATAAAGTGTAGTTCTCTGCTATTTAGCAATATAAAATGATTATCATATAATTAGTCATTAAAGAGCTAAATTCAAGAATTGCAAACCATTACAGCGATGAACAGTCCCTTGTACAAGAGTCCATTTGGAAAGGAGTCAAGTAAATTTTGTAACAGATTACACAAAAACTCGAGCCATGAATGTACTGTGACACACAACAGCCCCACTTCTCTGGCGCTCTTTGTCTCTTCTGGACAGGATGCCGAACCTACTGCTCACTGTTTGGTGGTTCTTGTTTTCCATTAAGCTCTTGATCAACTCTGTTCAAGAAGAAATACAGATAATTTAAAATAACCACATCACTGGCAACTGGAGGACTTCTTTCTTAAAAACAGCTACTTTTAGCACATATTATTTTGTTACATAAACAAAGCTTTACAAACAAAACAGATACTGTAGAAAGAAAAACAAACATGTATTATTTCCCCCCCAAAACCAGAATTTTTCTAAGCCAACAGTACACTGGCAAGGATACAAGTGTCACTGTTTATGACTTTAGGATACTTTATGTTCATAGCCATAAACATCCTCAGAGCCCATGACTTATAATCCCACTACAGCAGGAAGTTTAGTGGGTAAGACTGTCGAGAGGCACGAACTCTTTCAAGAACGACTTTTAACAGCAATTTAACTATATTACTAAAGTCACCAATGACCGATTAACACATTAAAATCTTGAAACCAAACTGTTTTACAGAATGGTAACTATTTTCTGTAATTCACTGGTACACTGTGTACAAATGACTTCCATTTACAGCTGATTTGGGATGTTTAAAATCACACTGGTACAAAGCAGGAAGGTATTTTTCACACCTGTTCCCATTCCTACAATCACCTGACTATCTGTCAATCAAAAGTAAAAAGTCCTGGTCTGTTATAAAAATACAGTATATTGGCACCAAAGATTAGATACCTACTCCTGTTAAGGTCTACAATATATGGCTAGTGTTTTCCAATATGAACTATTCTTAATAAATAATTGTAAGCAATGCTGAAACATGACACCTGTCTGGCCAGAGACACTAAGCTGTAGAAAGAAACAGGTGAAACATTTAAAAGGACTCTGCTTCAATCCTTAGTTCCTATCAAACACTGGGAACATCACCATCTCTGGGATTCCACCTAATAGATGCCACACCCACAACCACAAGTTTTGTATTAAATTTATTTCTATATTTAAAGTTGAAGAAAAGTTGTTTCTCAAACTGACCTTTCAATGTTAAAGAAAGTTTTATAAAAATTAAATGTTGAAAGATACATGTAATAATGACCCTACTGAGGACTGAACTCAAGCAAAATGGGGGGAAGGGGACCAAGATAAATTTATTTATACACACACACACACACACACACACACACACACACACACACACACCAGGATGAACATAGATTAAAGAGAGGTGAAAATGTGGAAGTGACTCCAAGGGAGGAATAGTTAAGATAAAGTAACTTCGACAGGTTCCAAACAATGAAAATAAAATGTTTGAGTTTCAATTTTTATGTGATGCTTGAATTATTTCTGACAGTTGATCAAATACTAAAACCTTTTAAAAAAGGGAATTGCCAGCACACTTCCTCATCAGAAGCAACTCTTTTTCTGTCATCCTAGCTGTTCTGAAACTCAACTCTGTAGACCAGGCTGGCCTCAACTCATAGAAATCTACCTACTTCTGCCTGCTGAGTGCTTGGATTAAAGGCATTTACCAGCTACCAATTCCAACAAATCATTTTAAAGTCTAGAAGACCATATTATTGATGCTATTTTGAGTTTGAGCCACTCCTCTGACATATACACAGTACTGCCTAGAGAGGAAAGCAGAGCCCATTACCCAAGCCATTGCTTACATCACTTAAGTGAATCTTGGTACTTGCAGAGTACCACACACAAATGGCAAGTTAGGACTCTTTTACATACTTAGCTGAATTCCCACAAAAAGAATCAAAGTCCTCAAAATTAAGACTATACCAGCAAAGGTTCTAACTGGTTCCACAGATGGGTAAAGTACACGTAAATCTCTCATTTTAATTCTTTAGACCATAGTTAGTGACAATTTTGCTAATGTTGTTGGTCTCTTTTTAAAAAATGGAATCTATTATTTTTTTTTTTTAAATAAGATTTATTAACAGTGGGTTAGCAGTGGGTGTGGTGGTAGAGAGCTACAACCTCACATTCAAAGACTGAGGCAGAAGACTGTGTGTGTGTGTGTGTGTGAGAGAGAGAGAGAGAGAGAGAGAGAGAGAGAGAGAGAGAGAGAGAGAGAGAGAGCGCCAAGGCCTTCACTTTTCTAAACTATTGTGTAAGATGGTAAACTATTTTATACTCCACCTTTCATCTTTATGCTAAAACATTAACAAATGAAAGGTTGTTATACTCAAAGCAAAATTAAATTTAAGGTGGAAAGCAGAGTGTTTAACTGTTAAATGGTACATCGAATTTTAGATATTTCATCACATGTAGTTTGACTGGTTAGCACACTATTTAATTTAAGCATATAAAGAAAATCAATGTTGGTTAGCCAAAGAGTATATGCATTGTAAATATAACCATCAACCCCGAGGGAGGGAATAAGTTGTTGGAAAATGTCTGTGTAACTATTTCAAAAGCAAAATGAGAAACAGTCTTTGAAGGCCTGGGATTTTAAATAATGATCCCAGTTATTTCCTTGGGTTCAGCATTGTATTTGGACCAGCACAAGAAGAGCTTTAGTTCCTAACAGGCAATAAGTATTCGAGGAGCTTGGGGTTCACTCTGTAGTGGGCTCTGGGCAACATTTATATTTACAAGTGCTATTCTCTCTGTTTGCCAGCTAACCAACCAGCAGCAGGGTTAGTCTTTGCGATGCAAATGGACTAGTCTAGATGCAACCCAGTCAAGGTGTGCATGTACCTTTTTTGTCTCTTTTTAAACTTTTCTTCTTCATACCTTGGTAGGGAAGAGTTATTTCAGTAAATGCACATTATGAGATTTAAAAAAAAAAAAAAAAAAAAAAAAAAGGCTGAAAGTGTAAGTTTGTAGGCACAACTACAAAATGCTAATATTTAACACATGATGTAGAAAATAAAAACTGACTCAGTAAACTCTGGTTTGGATACCTTTAGGCCTAAATCTGAGACCAACAGAGACAGAACACCTTCCTGTTCCACAGCACTGTGATGCCAAGTGTTTATGTTGACAGTCTTACCAAATCCTTTAGAAGGCAGGTGGAAGTGAGTTGTGACACAGAAAATTCTTCCCTCCAGAAAATAATTAAGACCAAGGTGACTTAAGCAACAATTCATTTCTTTAGCAGTAGAGTTCTTTCAATAACACGATAAACTCATTCTATCTGGGAGAGCAGTATGTCAAGTTGAGAAGTTAACTCTTCAGGCCAGGTCCTTCAGGAAATTTCTCTCTCAGATTGTACACAGCATTTAACATATAAAGGATTCATGACCAGGCATCACCTCTGGTAATGTAAAAGTGCTGATTTATGGGAAGGTGTGGGCAAAGTTTCTTCTACTTCCTTGTTACAAACCCCTCTGTTCTAGAATGCAGAGAGGAAGGGAAAGCATTCCTCTTGTACAGAAACAAAGACAGAATGAAAGCAGGGCAGAGACGTACTGTTTGATGCACTCTGGTATGCCAACATACTCCATGGGAACCAGCTCCGCCAGTTCTGCCAAATTAAAGACGTATCTAATCTTCTGACTGAATTTTGAACTAGGGAAGAAAACACAAACAATTACATCAATATTTCTGATACATGAAACTGACATTTTAATACAAGGAACTTTTTTCTTAAGGGTCCTCAGAAAATTACCTGATGAATGGTCTTGTAACAGCTAGAAGTGTTCGGATAAACCAAGAGGGGTGGACAATTATTAGAGACTTTAGGTTTTTCCGTAATCTGGAGATTTAAGAAAAAAATTATAGAAATTTCTATAAATTATAACACAAAAATTAGACATAAAGAAATATGTACAAGTTTGTAAAATATAACTGAAAAAGTCACCAAAATTTTCATGTAGGTATAACACTATTTAGTTGTAGCATTTCTAAAGAAAATGCATTTGGGAATTTTAACGTCCCCCCTATGCTGTGAAATAAACTATTTCATTTGGGAAAATTCAGTCTTAGTCTGCCTGCTTTCAAATGTCTTCCAGTACATCCAGTGGTACCCAGAGCTGTGCAGCAGAAAAAGAGCTCATCCAGAACATAAAAGTAAGGTGTTTTTTCTGTTTGAGTCTGGGGACAAACTGGCATCTGTTTCTAACACTGTGAAAAGCACTGACTTGTAAGGACAGGACGTAGATGACCAGAGGAAAGAGCAAAGGAGCCACTCCCAACTACCTTCTAGAGATTCAAAAATCACAAAGGATAACTAACATGTTTGCATGTGAAAGGAAACCTACTACCGGGCCTGAGTAAAACATCTGAATCAGCTACTGCAAAATCAAACCATTAGCAAGATTACAAGCCCCACTGATGTGGACAAACAACTCACTCTCGAGAGAACACACTTTTAATATCTTCTCTGGGCTAGTATCTTTAAGAAACTTGAGAGTTGGGGAAATAGCCTTGTAGGTGAAGTGCCTGCTGTATAAGCATGGGAACCTGGGTCCCACTCCCCAGAATCCAGGTAGAAAAAAAAAAGAGCATGGTGCCGCTGGCATGTAATCTCAGTGCTGGGACTCAGTAGGCCCTAGTTTAGCCTCATCAATGAGCACCAGGTCTTAGTCAGAACTGTCTAAAAAACAAAGTAGGTAGTGCCTGAGTTGACCTTAGGTTGAGTCCTGGCTTCCACACAGAACTTGTGCAAAGCAGTACAGGAGCAGTCTCCACCCTTTCCCAAGATGAGTAAGAATGTGTTCCAAATGGAGGAAGGGTGGAGAGCGACCTTAAGTTTGGAAGATTTAAGTCACTCTTACTTAATAAAGCAGGAGACTCAAGTTATTCTCCATGACATTGTACAATGTCATCCTTAGAAAATAAAAACATTAAGAGATTGATGAGTACAACTGAAGAAATATTTTAAAATGGCAACAGAAAGTATACTTTAATGAAACTACTATTAAAATCTCTCAGCAAGTCTACATCACCGTCTATCAATCTGCTGGTAGCATCTCCTCAGCCATCCCAGACTGGGCATTTTCCTTCGAGTTGTCGCACCGTTTAAGTAAATGATCATGTAGTTCTCTGCTACCAACAGCTCTAAAGTGCCAATAACATATCTATAAAAACAAATTAAGTACATGTCTTAAATGTCACCATTCAGGACAGAACTAGGCTTCCAAATGAACACAATTCCTTTCTTTCCTCCACAGTGAGCACAAACACCTATGGTAGATGTTTAAAACACAGCAAATCGGCACAGATTCAATCACTGTGTGGTCAGAGGAAAGGCGAGATGGGACATGGCACACACTGCCTTTCTCTGAGCATGCTTCAGGGTGTCATGGTAAAAACTGAGAAACTACACTAAGCTGAGAAAAAGAGTGATTGTGAGGATGCAAGAAAACCATGAGCACTTTTCATGCCGGGTCTCCAGGGAGAGATGTAATTTAGATATACAATTGTGAGATGGCTGGTTACCTTTTTAAACAACGTCTTTCCAAATAATGAAGTTGGAACAGGTAAGCTATACTAATTTCAAAACATGTTTCTTCTATAATCAATAGTTTCATAATGCCAAACGACAGACTTGGGGACTCAGAAACAGGGTATACACAGGCTAGAGCTGTCATGGAGCTGCATCCCTAGTCCTTTTTGATATTGTGAGGCAGGGTCTCATTAAGTTGCTCAACTTGGCCCTAACCTTGATCTATATGTAGTTCAGATGGGCCATCAACTTGTGATCCTTCTCCCACAATATTCCAAATAGCTAGGATTATTGTACTATACTATCAAGCTGGCTTCTTTCTAATTTTTACAAGACTTAGTTCACTAGCATAAACTATGAGTCTAATAAGCTCAGAATTCTGTTCAAACATCTTGTTAAGACATACTTACTTAAAGAGATTGTCCATCAGATATCTATAGTTAGGCTGACCACTTTCAGGCATAAAACAGACAGCAAATACAACAATGGCATTTAAACCATCCCCATAATAGCCTGAGAAGAAAAAAAAAAAAGAAGGGTAAATAAAATCTTTGGCACAATTTTATGCTGAAGGGTTGTAATTTTTAATTGTGTGTGTGTGTGTGTGTGTGTGTGTGTGTGTGTGTGTGTGTGTGAGGGGGGGGTAGGAGGAAGTGTAGAGCTTCCAGATGAACAAAGATCATAGGGATGACCAAAGGATGCATCTGGCAAAGTAAATTAAGTGGGAACAATTTCATACGAGAAAGAAAAGCTCACCTGGCCAGTGTTGGTACTTGAGGTTATACAACATGTTTTATCCAGAGTGAACTACATTCTGATAATGAAGATGCTGACAGTTATTTGCACAGCACCTGGGAGAACTATATGGTATAGTCAGACCAACAGAGTGACAGTGTGCAGTTTCATAGCTTTCTGACCGACTTGCACATCTCCTAAGGGAATGAACTATTTCTGTGTGTCCCATAAATAAGCAAAGCGGGTGCCCCATTCAACATGCGGAATGGACAGTGCTCCACTTAGGTAGATGAGTCATGCACGAAGTCAATGAGAAACTGCAGTCAAAGCTCAAGGGGCGGCTTGTGCCGACAGTGCAGCACCCTAGTCACACACCAAACTGAACAACTCACAGCTAGTGCTGCCACAGATGCACAGGTGCAGTTTATTTTGACAACTAAAGATTCGGTGATGGAGAATAAAATAGACACACATAGATGAAGCTCAAAAATATGCAGAATGACAAGTAGTGCACACCACGTGACTAGTGTCACATGGACTTTCTTAAGAGGCAAGGCTGACTATGGAGCAGTTTATGAGTAGTGGCTTTTAGAGGGTGGACTCACTGGAAAGGGGTGTAGAGCTTCCTAAAGAAAGTGAAATGTTCTATATGAGCATGGATTATGTCTATGTGTGCATATATGTACATATTTATATACAATGAGAGACATAAAAGCTTTTTGTTTGTTTGTTTTTTTCAAGATAGGGTTTCTCTGTGTAACAGCCCTGGCTGTCCTGGAACTCACTTTGTAGACCAGACTAGCCTGGAACTAACAGAGATCTATTTGCCTCTGCCTCTTGAGTGTTAGAACTACAGGTGTGAGCCATCATGTCCAACTGACATACAAGTTTTTGCTGAAAAATATCTATGTATTAAAAAGTATAAATGCTTACAAAGGATTCAAGAAACTAAGTCCTTTTGAGAAATGAACACATAGGGTGAAACTATTGTACATTTAAAACTTACAGTAAACACATAAAAATAATTTTAAAAAGTTCTGTGTACGGTGCCTGCAGAGGCTATAAGAAGATATTGGATCCCATGGGACTGGAGTTGCAGATGGCTGCGAGCTACCATGTAGGTGCTAGAAACTGAACTTGGGTTCACTGAAACAACAGCCAGTACTCTTATCATTGACCCATCTCTCCAGCCCCTATGTAAGTAATTCTTAATTGTCCTTTTATCATTTTACTTCAAGTCTTTTATATCCCTGGGGCTGGAGAGCTGGCTCAGCAGTTAATAACACTGACTGCTCTTCCAGGATTCCCAGCATTCACATGGCAGCTCAAAACCATTTCTAACTCCAGTTCCAGGGAATCTGGTGACCTCTTCTGGCCTCTATGGAGACATGAGACACACAAATGGTGATGTTCAGGCACACATATATGCAAAATATTCATCCACTTAAAAATAGTTAAAACAAAGCAAGACAGATGGTAGTGGCGCATGCCTTTGATCCCAGCACTTGGGAGGTAGAGGCAGGTGGAGCCTTGTGAGTTTCAGGACAGTAAAACCCTGTCTCAAAAAAAAAAAAAAAAAAAAAAAAAAAAAACCAAACCAAAACAATAGCCCCAAACAAAATAAACAAAAATCCTTTTACATTCTTAAAATGACTTGAGAAATTTTCACTATTCTTTCAATCCCCAGCTACATTTCCTGACAGCCTTTAGATCTTTAGATTTGGGGCATTGCATCTAAAGATTCTGAGCATCCTCTTATCCCTTACCTCCATGGCTAATAACTTTTTTGTAGGGTTCGATTGCCTTCATATCCACCCTGTGGTCCTGTTCTCCAATCCTGAACATGCGCCAGCGGCGTCCATCCTCTTTTTCTTCTGTGGCTGTGTATTCAGTAACTGATCCTTTCCTAATGACTTCAGTAGTTTTGGGTTTGGGAAGATCATCTGTTAAAATAAACGGCTTTTGAATCACAAATATTATTTACAAAATAAAAATCAAAACTGTATGTTAACCACTTTACTATCTACATTATTTCAAGTTTTTCTGTTTTCTTATGGGTGTTCTGCTACACTCCCCAAACTAACCTCACACTCATGGGCTCAGTCCCCCAATATGTGGGAGAACACCACCACATCCAACTATTCACAAAGGATTTTCAGTACACCAGCTGAAATTATCATCCACATAACAAGAAAAAGCTTGTTCTTATTAAGGCCAATTTAAGTCTTTAAAATCAGTTTACCAGAACTTTCTACTGCCCAATTCAACAAAGCACCAAGTTATAGTGCATCACTTACAGGAGGCTTAGGGAAGATAGGGCCATCGATATTTTTTTTTCCCCCTGACAGGGTTTCTCTGTATTGCTTTGGAGCCTGTCTTGGAACTAGCTCTGTAGACCAGGCTGAACTGGAACTCAGAGATTCACCTGCCTCTGCCTCCCGAGTGCTGGGATTAAAGGCATGTGCCACCAACGCCTGGAGCCATCAAGATCTTAACTACACTGGCCTCGAATGCCTTCCCAGATCCCATTGAGGACAACTGTTCAAGTAACCATCCGAGAGCCAATCTTTTTTTTTTTTTTTTTTAAGCACATACATTAATTATAAAACACTGTTAACACAAGATAGAAAGTGGTTAACTACTCAGTGATAATTTTATTTGATCAGTTTTATAAAGCAGATATGTACTTTTCTGAAGAACACATGCAAAAATTTACACAAATTAACACTAGCCAAAGCACCATTGATTGCGAACAATTTATGTTTGCAGATTACAGTTTAGTTGATTTAAAATGAAGTAATGATTTTCAAAACTTTAGTACGATAGTCCTTACCAAAAGATGGGGGGAGGGAAAACCTACTGCATGTTAGTTGTTTCCAAGACAAAGCTGTTAACGGAAAATATCCTTCCAGGCAATGACTACAGCAGCATTAAGGAGAGAAGAGACAAAACACACAGGCAGAAAACTATTTCAGTGTCTGTATAAAAGACTTCTTCTTACTGGGCTGCTTATTGAACCAGTAAAACAGGGAAGAAAAAAAAAACTACAGAGTATCACTCGTTACCCATAAAGTGTCTACTGCTTTAAGTACAGTTTTGATGTAAAATTCACTTTAAAGATGAAACAAAAAGGTTATTAACATTTGTCTAACTATTATAACCAACTACTGCTTAAGCACATAAAGCAAAACAAACAGCAATGCCTCTGAACACAAAGTAATTAGAATGGTAATATCAGATTGGGGCCGAGCACACACTACTTCAAGGCAGCAGTTTTACAGGTGCAGCAGTCCTCAGCAACTTTCCTGCCAATTCTTAGGTATTTATTATTATTATTGTTGTTGTTGTTATTATCATTATTATTGACAGGACTATGTAATCCTGGCTGTCCCTGAACTCACTATGTAGACCAGGCTAGGCTGGAACTCAGAGACCCTTCTGCCTCTGCCTCTGGAGTGCTGGGATTAAAGGGATGTGCAACTAGGCCTAGGTGTTTTTTAGTTATTCCTTATATGTCCTTTTAGAGAACTTTTTTCCTGACAAGAATGTAATGGAATATTAGGCAATACTTTTGAAGCAACTATGAAAAACAAACTTTACAATATTGGGTAAGTAAGGAAAAACAAAACTAAACTAAACTAAGTGAAAGCTACCTGCATAATCTATAATCTTGAAAACTTCAAGTATTTTCAGAATCTTTTACTTTAGTAACAAACTTAGGAACTACAGAAAAAATAACATATTTCAAACAAAATCCTCCAATGGATTTTAGCAGGTTTCATGTTTAAGATTTGTCATACTACTTTTCCTAAAGAGAATACCATGGTAAACACTATGTAATATAAACATCCATTCACGAAGCTTATATAAAAACAGCAAATTACCTTCCCACTCAAATTCATCACTGTTCTCTGATGGGGTGTCTAAGCCTTCCAGGTCAACCTCCCCACCTTCATCCAAATCATCCGACCACACAGAGCCTTCACTAGGATCCAGGGTCAGGCTGATGTCTGGAGCCATTAGTTTCTTACGCACTTTATTTCCATTAACTTCTAATGAGCCTGAAATTGGAAAACAAGAAAGAAGCCTAGACTGCTCAGATGCCCCCGTTGAAAGAGAAAAATTTATTCACTTCATTCTTGAGAAAAACTAAAGAAAATCCCAAGGCATTAATTCATAAAACTTGGTTGGGAACACTGCTACTGCTTTTGAAAAAAGATAGATGTTCATCCTATTTTTATTTTATGTGTATGGGTGTTTCTGCCTGCATGTATGTCTATGTACCACATGTGTGTAGTACCTGAGGAGGCCAGAAGTGTTCATCAGATCCCCCAAAACTGGAGTTAGTGAGCTGCAATGCAGATGCTGGGAATTGAACCCAGGTTCTATGCAGAAGCAGCAAGTGTTCTTAACTGCTAGGCCATCTCCTCAGACAGTTTATTTTCATTTTTAAACATGTACGTGTGTGTGTGTGCGTGTGTGTGAGAGTATGTGCACACAAGTGCAGTATCAGCAGGGTCCAGGAGAGGACACTAGACCCAGGGAACTAGTTACAAGCATTGTGAGATACCTGAGGTGGACTCTGAGAATTGCAATCTCTCTTCTTAAAAGAATTATTTACTACTGCTTCTTTATTGAGAGATCAAGAATCCATCAATGTCCTTTTAAACAACAGAGGCAGACTTCATAGTCAGTTATTAATATGGTCTCTTTCACTCTTTATAAAAATTTCCAAAACCAAAAGTATATTTTTTATGAAGTTAAATTTCTTAAGGATTTGCCAAAATTTTGGCCTTTGGTTCCCTCTATCAGAATAAAAGTTCAATGTGTTTCATTTTGTTTTCCTCTCTACAAGGAAATGTGTTCAAATGTAACACAATCTTCACTGAAAGTCTTCGGTTCTTACCAGGTTGGCTGTCTGGACCAGTTACATCTAGTATATCTGCTTCAATACTGTCATCTTCTGGTAAAGGTCTAGACAACAAAGACACACTCTTTAGCCCAGAAATTAAAAGAATTCTTTTGAAGCTTAAAGATCCATTAAAAATATTGCTCAGTTATAAGGACTAAAGAAAGCTGTGTTTCTTAAGCTCTATAAATCCGTTTGGATGCCTGTGTATAAGGTTAGAAGATAATCTCAGATGTTCCTCAGGAGCTGTCCACTGTTTGAGACAACATCTCTCGCTGGCCTGGGACAGACCAAACAGCCCAGGCTGGCTGGCCAGTGTGCCCTGAGGATCTGGTCTCTATCTCCCCAGTGCTGGAGTTACAAGTACTCCATTTACTCTTGCAGACAGCTGATATCCCATCCCTCTATAAGCCTAAGACCTTAGCTTAAAGCACAGTTTGCTAAAAATCTGAAGTTGAAGATATGAAAGATCACCAGTGACACAGTTGGAAAATTAACTTTCACTTTCTAGAATCCAGCGATCATTTGTAACTTTTTAAAAGAAGCTCAACATAACATGAGCTGACATTTCCTTAAAGTAATTCTGAAGCTTTGTTCCAAATCCATTTAACAAAAAGTACTGCTCACATTGGAAAATCTTCATCCTGCCATTCTTCTTTGAGCTCCACACCTTCCATCCTCAGCCTGGATTCAATGTCAACTTCCAGCTCCTGGCAATCCAGGCAGCCGAGGTCCTGGGAGGGAAAGAGGGACAACAGCTCCATTTCCACTTTACTCTTCATCTGCTGCAAAGGGGCAACAATCCCACCCAAGTTCATGTCTCCACTCCAGCAGCTGCAGAGGCATTAGTTCAATGAAACCTGACCCTATCTCAGATAAATAAATGTCTTCTCTCCACAGAATCATAACTACGCCTTATGTCTTAGTTCTGGATGGGGTGATTCTAGAAACCACACTAATAACTTACAGGTGCATACATGCTTACCAGGGCCCAGTGCTATGCAGTGTTTACAGCTCCTCCTCTCCATTCCTGAGTCACTTAAGAGTCTCTCCAGGAGCTTGTCCAGCAATGAACTAATTGTACTAACTTCTGATGTGCTCCTATTTGTACCATGCCTCTCTCACAGAGTTCAGCACTCAACTATACTTTTCAACTTAAGCCCCAAAGTTTAATTTTATTTTTGCAAGAAACTATAAGAATTCTCAGTAAGATGGAGCATTGACTCACCTTCTGTCTGACAGGCCATAACATTTGAAATACAGTATAAGAAGTCATGAAGAGGAGCTGGAGAGATGACTTGGTGGCCAGTTCCCAGCACCCACATGATGTCTCACAACTACCTGAGACCCCAGTTTCAGGGGCATCACACACCTGCTTCTGACCTTTGATGGTGCTGCATGCACATGGTGCACAGACATGTAGACAAAACACTCACACATAAAATAAAAAACAAATCTTAAAAAGAGGTCATGATGATCAGCTGGTAAAAGTACAACAGAAACAGCTGACAAGTACTGAGGCAAGATGTATCATTGAGATTCAACTTATTTACATTTACATTACAACAATCAACAGAGCACTACAGACGGCACTAAACCATATTTCTGTCTCCATCTTCTAGCCCTTTAGTCTAGGCTGTCTTCAAGCTTGTAATCTTCCTATTTCTGGAACTACAGGCATGGGCCATGATACCTAGCTTCACATTTTTAAGAGTCACACAGTATAACTGGAAGCAAAACTAACAACAAAGTAGTAGTAGTTCCAAGTAGTTGACACATGGAGGAGAAAGGGTGGCATGCCTATATAGGACACACACACCCTTCCGAACTACTTGAGCATGACAGCTCACACATTTAATCCCAACATTTAGGAGGCAGAGGCAGGTGGATCTCTGGGAGTGCAAGGTCGGCATGGTCTACAAAGCAAGTTCCAGGACAGCGAGGGCTGCTATACAGAGAAACCCTGTTTTGAAAAACAAAATCCAAAAAACAAAGAAAACCCACCTTCCTAAATAAAATAAATGCTGAGAACCCTTCACATTCATATCAAATGATATTCTAAAAGCAAACTACAAAGGACATTAAATTCATTCATCTAATAGAGATCTCTACCTCCCAGTTTGAGTATTTACTTATACTTGGGAAGGTCTCAAAGGACTTATACTTTTATAAATCTATTTATTAGCACGGGGGGGGGGGGGGGATAAGATGTTAACTTCCTGTCACTGAACTACTCACTGGGTAAATAACCAGAATAGTTCCCATGGTCTTGTCCTACCTTATACTAGGTATTGGGAGTAGGAGGATCAGAATATTCTGTGTGTCTTTTTTAAATAACGAGAAAAAAGAAAAAAGAAAAAAAACCTCCCAGAAATAACAGCAGAGACTGACAATTGCAATGGATATATTCTTAGTCTTAGTACAATGCTTGGCACATAATAGCTTAACAGTGAAGCACACCATTATTAGGCAAGCCTCTGCTCAACCCCTTAAGCTTACTTTGCTTTCTGAACTATATAAATAGGATTCCTGTTATGAGTTCCCCTTAAAAATGTTATGGAAAAAAAAAAGAACTTAGTGAGAACATAAATACGTGCAATATAAGTTACTGTTGGTGAAATTATTCTTTATTTGCTGAAAGAAATATTTTGCCTGTGAAATGCCTCTTAACTGTTTCATCACTTGAGAAATAACTTGTTCAAAATTGTCATGGAGGCTGAGGTTTGCAATCCCAGTGCTCTGGGGGCTACCATAGCAAGATCCTGCCTTAAAACAATGGATTAAAACAAAACAACAACAAAAGGAGCTCTTTAAGCCCTGGATATCTCAGGCTGAGGCATGAAGACTGCATGTTCAAGGCCACTGTGAGCCTCTGCGTTAGACTCTGTCTCCAAGTAAAACAGGAAGGCAGGGCTGGGGCTGTAGCTCAGAGACTGCTTGCTCAGCAATGGGACCCTGAATTCAGTTCTCAGCACCACAGACACAGGAAGCCTGGGTTCTTGAGCCCTTGCAGCTCACTTCCTCTAGTTCTCGGTCATGTGATGTTTATACACCTCTATACACTGCCATGGGCTTTTAGTTATGGGGACGGTTATCTAGGCTAGTTAAACAATGGGAACAGAGAGAAACAGAGGTTCACTCCCCCATTTCATCAAGAACATTGGGGACAGCACACTAGGTAGATAAAAACAAAGCCAACAATCGAGCTCTGTTCTTGGAAGCACTTTATCACCAGGCAGCTGCAGGAACAGGAAACAACAAGAAAGGAACTGAAATGAGTACAACTGCTCTGGAGGGAATCTGGATGTCTCTGGATCACCAGCTTGTTGCAATTTCCCAGTTTTGCTTTTAGAACTTTAAAATGTTAGAATAGGGAAATAGTGCTTTCATACGTTATTTGTCAAAATAATGTACTTCCACAGAAATAATCTGACATCTTGATAGCTTGGTGGCATATCTTTCTGCCAGTACCTGTGGCAATCATAAGGAAATCAATAGCTTTTGACCCCAATCAGCCTGAAAATCAAAGATCATGTATTATTCCTCCATACACAACTTAAGAGGGGAGGTGTGAATCCAACCAAGATGGAGAGGGGACAAGCCATAAGCAGTTTAGGAAGAAGAGTAAAATTAAGTATTAGGATCCTATCTTGACCTACCTAGGCTGTGACTGATGGTTCTCCAAGGAAACTTTACCATCATGTAGTTTAAGCACTGCTTCTAGAAATAGGTGCATGCTGAAACCACACATGGCAGAAGGCCAGCAAGGACACAGAAGGTTGCTTTATTTATTTTCATCTATTATGAACAACAGCCTATATGCCCATGAAGATCAACAATACCCCTCAGAAACATCCTCCATTCTTGCTTGTTATTGTTCCCAAGGGTATGATTGTATCCTTTTAAAATCGTATCTTTTTTTAAACACACACACACACACACACTGAGGGGTAGGGTAGGTGGGCTAAAAGCGTGTGCTTTGGCAGGAGAGTGGAGGTAGGAGGACAAGTTTTCAAGTGTGGTTTTTCTCCGTCCACTTTATTTTGAGACATGGTCTCTCTTCTGGTTTTTTTTTTTTTTTTTTTAATCACTCCATGCTCCCAGCTAGCTGGCCACATGAGCTTCAAAGAGAGTATCTTTTCTCTTCTTCCTATCTTGCCACAGGACTGCTGGAAGTATAGCTGGCTTTTTATGGAATTCTAGAGGTTAAACTTATGGGTTCAGGTTTTCTAGGCAAGTTGCCTTTACTGGCTGACCCATGATGGATGCTTCTACAAGAATGTTCTCTCTCCCCCCTCCCTCCCTCTCTCTCTGTCTCTCTCTCTCTCACACACACAGACACAAAACAAACTAGAACTAGAATGGTGCTAACTTCTCTCAAAATTGTGAAAACATAGCATATGATAAACACACATCTATAAGAATACATTTACTAAATCATCAGTATGCAGAAGGTATTGGAGATGTGTTGACACCGGTAAGTAGATTAAACCCTAATGCCTGATCTCCAACAGCCTGTTAGTATTAAAAATGGGTTGTAATGTAAATTTAAGACTATCTGTAATATTACTGACTTGCTTCATAGGGTGTCAGCCTACCCAAAGACCTGTCTATTGTCAGCCAAAGCCACTCTTGGGTCTGAAGAAACATAGCTGTTTTCATCACTCCTACCACCATCACTCCATATAAAACAAACACAACCACTACCCAAAAGAGTATTTCACCTTTACTAACCACTTTTATACCCATTAGTAACTGATGATTAGCTCATGCTTCAACTGACCAACAGATGTGTGAGATAGAATGTGATGTTATTATCCCTTTATCTTAGACAACAAGGCAAAAGACAGACACCACATTCTGACTCCTAGATCTACAGAAGAACTGTATGCAATATAGCACACTGTCTCCAGTTCATTACCAACTCTACACACAGGTCTTTAAAACCAGGTTTGATTATACTTAGTGTGAAAGGTACCGTAACGCCTAAAGATGTAACTATGCTGATTTATTGTAATTAGTCCCTATTCCATGCACTCACATATCACACTTCCTAGTCTAACAACCCCAAGCTAAGCTAGAAAAGACTTGAAGACTAGGAATAGTATTTAGAAAAAAAAATAATAATAAAATGCTAAGAACCAAGCAAAAAAATGTCCGAGGTATCGAAGCATTGGTAACTTCGAGTATGGATAACTTAAGTAGATAATGTCAATTCTAACTTTGAAGAAACTTCCATTCATCAATTAAGAGTTTCTACAAGTTATGACTAGAAGCCTCTCTACTCTTCAGAGGATCCTATTGCAATTCCCACCACCCACACCTGTGGATTCAGAACAGCCTATGACTCCAGATCCAGGAGCCCACACCACGGAAAACAAAGACATTCTACAATTGCAGAAGGATTCTTATAACTCGTAAGATAAAGCGCGTTTCATTTAAGGTGGGAATTCAAGAATAAGGGAAAAGATACTAATTAAAGGAATAGGCTAAAGAAAGCAATACTAAGACATACAATCGCAGATGGACGGCACTAGAACTATCTTGATAAACACTGTAAAAACTGTGTCCTCAAAGAGTTCCCAGGACAAAGGAAGTTTCAAAGCAATATAATAAAGATCCAAATAAAGGCCAACTGACTTAGGGAGAATTCTTCAGTGGTATCGGGTGCACATAGAAATCCAAAGCCAATATTTAAATGAAGAGGGTAAGTGAAAACAAGCAGGGACCGGGCATTGACGTACACAGCCTATCCCGGGATAGCACTCTCAGGACGGTGCAAGAGAGCCTGATGACTTATAGGATGCTGTTTGTGTAAGCCATCTGCGTCCATTCCCCGAGGCTAAGGGGTGCACTACACGCCCAAGTTTCTTTGTTCGACTCCCGGACAGACGCCGGATAGGAACACGGAACAAACGTGGCTAGGGGAAGCCAGGAACCGGGAGGTTCCGCCCCAGGCACTCAGCCACAATCGGGAAAGGAAGGGGGCGCGAGCCTGGCACCAGCGCCCGAGGCTAGGCGGGGCCCGGCAGCTCGAGGACCCGGAACGCGAACACGCCGGTCCCCGGCCGCCGCCCCCGCCTGGCCTTGCTGCTCCTCCCGCAGTCCTCCGGCTGCGCCCCAGCCCAGCCCGCTACCCCGGCCGCGCTCACCCCGGAGGAAGCCGCGGCCCCCTCGTCCTCTTTGCCCCTCCAGGCCGGCGACGTGGGGCTGACGGCCAGGTCGCAGAAAGCGGCGGCGGGCAGAGCCCGCTGCCCTTGGTCGGCGGTGGAGACGGGGCCCAGAGCTTCCTGGCCGGTCGCAGCTGCAGTCCCGGCGGCGGCAGCTGACCCGGATTCAGTGCGCACGTCCTGGCGGAAGTGACCACCTCCGGACCGCCGCCGGGCGCGGCTGAGGGAGGAAGCGGGGACTGGGCGTCATCACAAAATCCCCAGCGTCCCTCCTCTGCGCGCACGCGCCGTTGTCCAGGTTAGCTGTCTGCCGGCTGAATCCCTGCCTTGTTGCTAGAGTGCGCTTCGAAGGCTCAGGATATTCCTTTCCGTGTCTGAAAAGGCCCGTACTTTCTTTCTGTTTGCCTTTACTTAACATACGTTAACCATATTACAAAGCGAATGCAAAGAGGGTAACAAAAAGCCCCTGTCTTATGTCGGGGTAGCCAGAACCTAGAAAATCTACTTGGATAGAATTCTTCCAAGTGAAGAGCTTTTCTATCCAGCTGTGCTTCTGGGAGTAATTAGTCCCCGTGTCCCCCACCCGCTCCGCTCCCGCCCCGCCAAAGTGTCCGGGGTTGACCTTGAACTCCTCCCTGTGTAGTGGAATAGCCTTGCACTAATCCTATCTCAGTCTCCAGAGTGCTGGGATTACCAACATGATTGTTAGCACACCGTTTAAACTGTAGAAGAGGATGAACCTAGCTAGGGCTTCCTGCCTGCTAGGTAAACGCTCTAAGGTGATAGTTCCCTCACCCTTTAAAACATGCTTTTCCCAATTCTTTATGGGTCGAATCCTGATGAAATAGATACATGAAAAAAAAAAAAAAAAAAAGAAGTCTTATGTAAAATAGTTTAGCATCACCTTAACAGCCTTAACAGTTGTAAAAATGCCTCAAAGGATCTCAGGTTCTGTACTTTTCTGTGTGGACCAGTAACGATTTTCGGAAGGACTCCAGTCTATGATGCATACTTTTAAGAAGCATCAAGGGACTATTATTTTGGAGGATATAGCCATCCCTCTTAGAAGTTACACTTACGGTCTAGCAGTTAAGTGGGCAATTCTATTAGGCAGTCCTAAAGGGAATGGTAAAGTCAGACATTTTAAAAATTGACTCCAAACATAGCACTTTGCAGTCAGTCCAGAGTTGTTCTCTGTTAGTAGAGTTAGGTGTTCTGTGATTTACCTATAAAATATGAGGTGGGGAATAATGCCTACCCCAGTGGGCTTTTTTTTTTTGAAACAAAACAGTACATATTTATGAGATGAGTTCTTGGAATATTATAATTACATGTGTTAGGCGGCATTATTTCCCCTAGCAATTTCCTTAATTGTTGGAGGGAAAACGTAAAATAACTGATCAACAAAGTTTTAATTAAACTACTTGGGCCATGAAAAGCATTTCCTCTTAGGTTTTTCATAGTTCCAGTTATTTCCGTTCTGCAATGTGCAGAGTTCCCCACAGGGTGGCAGAAAATCGTTTGCAATCATGTAAAGGGGTGAGGTTTTTGTGTGGTCTTTAGTTTCTTCATTTTAGTAAGTTTGTCATGAAATAAACTTGATACATGTTTGGTCCTTAATAAGCTACTCTGCTACATTTTCTTTTTGTCTTCATTTCATGAATTATTTGTACTTATTGTTGAAACATTAGAAACTATAGATAAACCAAAAATTATGGTTACATTTGATATTTGGATATACATATATGAATTGCATATCCTTCTAAAAAATCAGATAATGTAGTTAAGTTGATCATGTATTTATAAAGATTTCTAAATTTATTTTTAGTTTTCTTTAAAAAAATGTTTTATGGTGCTTGGAAATGAACCTAGGGCCTCATGCAACCATTCCACTACTGAGCTACAATCTCAGCTCTCCTTTCCCATTTTGCTTCTGAAATATATCATGAATTCCTTTTCACATCTGTAAATTTCATCACATTTATTTGTTCGTTCATTTATTTCATAGTCTGAAAAGGCAAGATCTTTTGTAGCCCAGGCTAGCCTCAAACTTGCTGTGCAGCTGAGCCTGGCTTTGAACTCCTGATCTTCCTGCCTTCACTTCCCAAGTACAGAGTTTCCAGGACTGCACCATGTGCTTAATTTTCATCATTTATATTACCAATCCTTTATTCAACATTTAACTCAAAATTTTTCATAGTTTGAAACACTTCAAAATAATGTTCAAAAAGTCAGGAATACAGGACTAGTAGCATGTTTTTAAATAATACATTAGTTACTTTTTTGTTAGTTACATTTAAAAATAATACATTCAATATATTTTACTTAACTTACATAGAATATCTTTAAACCAATGTATCCAAATGTTAACCTAAAACAATATTGAATACTATCTCAATCCTGTGTTAACAGACTTTGGAGGTAATATTTATTGTATTTTTTAAAAGATTATTTTATGTATATGAGTGTTTATTTGCATGTATGCTTGTGTACCATGTATGTGTGTGCCTGGTTCCTGCATAGGCCAGAAAGGGGCATCAGATACTGCGGGACAGGCGTTATAGATGGTTGTGGGTTGCTATTTGGATGCTAGGAACAACTGAATCCAAGTCCTCTACAAGCTCTTAACTGCTGAGCCATCTCTGCAATCCTTTGTCTGGTGCCTTAGGCGTTAGAATGATAGGAATGTCTCAATGTAGGTGACAGAGCAGCATCTCTCTGGGAAGTTTTGCTGTTAGACACACGGTTTCCACAAAAAAAAAAAAGGGGGGGGGATCATTGATAGCCAGGAATTACTAATTACTCACTTTCTTTGCCTCTCATTTAATTATTGTTATGTGTTGATAACTTTTCTGTGTGCAAAACCAAGACCTTTCTAAAAAGATTTATTCTATTTTATATGAATGTATGAGTACATGTATATATGTGTTCCATGTTTGTGTCTGGTGCCTGCCAGGGCCAGAAGAGGGTATCAGTTCTCCTGGAACTGGACTTAGAGGGTGGCTGGGAACCACCGTGTGGGTGCTGGGAATTTAACCTGGGCCCTCTGCAGGAGCAGCAAGTTGCCCTAACTGACTAGTCACCACTCCATTCCCATGATCTCTGTATATACATTTTTTATTATTTCCTCTCTCTCCCTGGCCTCTTTCAGGGAAGCCTGGGTGAGTTGTACTGTGGCATTCGGCTTCTTGACTTGCTTTTTCTGCTTTGTGATTTTCTGTTCCCACCATTAGCTCTTCCTTTGGGATGTGGTATTATTCTAAATGTCTAAAAAGGGCATGTTGTAATGCATTAAATGACTTTTGTGAATGGTGAACAGGGATGAAATGATGGCTCAGTGGATTAGCACTCATGCTGTTTTTGCAGAGGACCCATGTAACACAAATAATAAAAACCTAGAGACAGATATTGGGGTCAAGCTGAAAGATCAGAGAAGCAAAGCAGCCAGCCAGTAGCTCTTATCTCTACATCAGATTGAAATGGGCGATCCTGTCTCCACAAATCCACAGAGTACAATGCAGACTGGACTGCTCTCCGCCAAGCCTCAGATTACAATCCTCCCAGTTCATGTCTCCTTCTGCCTTACATTTTTCTCTCTGCCTTGCCTTATATTCCTCTCTCTACATTCCTGTCTCCACTTCCCTAGTGTTGGGATTAAAGGCCTGTGATCCCAAGCACTAAGATCACCTTTGTGTGAGCTGTTTCTCTTTTAGATTGGATCAATTTTGTGTAGCTCAGTGTGGCCTTGAACTAAAGGAGATCCATCTGCCTCTGTTTTCCAAGTTCTGGGATTAAAAGTGTATACCACCACCCCTGACCTCTGTGGCTAGCTTATATGCTTGCTGGGATTAAAGGTCTGTATCACTGCTGCCTGGCTCTATGGCTGTGGCTAGCGTTGCATTTTGATCTCCAGTTGTTTTATTAAATCATAAACAATATATCACCATAGACCCAGGCTTGTTTTGTTCCTAGAACCGAAGTCGAGGGCTCACAACCCCCCTGTAACTCCAGCTTCCCTCTTCTAGTCTCACCTGCATTCACATGTACATACCCACACACATACACATAATTAAAAACATGTAGTCTTTCCACACCGACATCTTGATGTGCCTGAAAGCCCTGGTTGATGCCCTCAAGCATCAGCAATGCTGCAAACACCAGGCTCTTATCAGGCCATTCTCCAAAGTCATTGTCTGGTCCCTAACTTCAGTAATGACACGTGACTACACTGACTAATTTGAAGTCATTGATGATCACAGACCTAAGAAAATCATGGTGAACCTTACAGGCAGGTTAAACAGGTTGAGAGGGTGTGCAGCTAGATTTGATGTGCAGCTCAAAGACCCAGGAAAATGGCAGGATACTCTGTTCCCATCCCATATGTTTGGCTTTATTGTCCCGACAACCTCAGCTGGCATCCTAGGCCAGGAAGAAGCAAGAAGAAAACACACAGGACAGAAAATCCTGGGGCTCTTTTTCTATGGTTGTAAAATATACATAAAGTACAACAAGAGAATAAGAGAATAAATCTTTTCTTAAAAATATTATAGCTTCTCAGCTTTCCTTGATCAGGTTTAATTATTAGAGTAAGATAGTTTCTCAGAAATGGTTGTCTACAGAGTAGCCCTGGAAATTCCTTCTGGTTAGTTGAAGTTCCTTGGGACAAGGGTAGTGAGGAGCTTGTGTGTGTGTGTGTGTGTGTGTGTGTGTGTGTGTTCATGTTTTGTGTTTTTGTGAGTGAATGTGTCTGTGTATATCTCTGTGTGCATGTGTCCCAGTGAGAATGTATGTCTGCAAAGTGTGTGTGTCTTCATCTGTGTTTGTGTATGTATTTATGTGTGTATGTGTCTCTGGGAGTTTGTATGCGAGTGTCAGTATGTGTGTGTGTTTGTGGTCAGCCTGAGGTGTCCTCCTTCAGAAAATATCTATTTTTTCCAAATATATTTATGTGTATGGGTATTTTGCCTGCATATATGTCTGTGCACCATGTGTGTGTTGTAGAGGTCAGAAGAAGGTGTTGGATCCCCTGGAATTGAAATTAAAGATGATTGTGAGCCACCAAGTCTATGCTGGGAACCAAACCCAGGGCCTCTGCAAGAGTAGCAAGCACTCTTAACCACTGTGCTGTCACTTCAGCCCAGTTACTTATTTTTTCGACAAGGTCTCTCACTGGGACCTGGAGCTCATAAAT